TATATATAGTGTTTTAAAATAAATATAACTAAAGTGATTTATTCTGTTACACATGCAATTGATGTGATTTAAGATTATTATTTGATATATCTTAGAATGTACCATTCATACTAGTATATTGAAATACATTTTCTCTATATCACTTAAATAATTACTATTTGTATCATATTCTAAAGGTAAAAGGTAAAGGTAGTCCTCTGACATTAAGTCCAGTCATGTCTGACTCTGGGGTGTGGTGCTCATCTCCATTTCTAAGCCGAAGAGGCAGCGTTGTCCGTAGACACCTCCAAGGTCATGTGGCCGGCATGACTGCATGGAGCGCCGTTACCTTCCTGCCGGAGCGGTACCTATTGATCTACTCACATTTGCATGTTTTCGAACTGCTAGGTTGGCAGAAGCTAGGGCTGACAGCGGAAGCTCACGCCACTCCCCGGAATCGAACCTGCGACCTTTCGATCAACAAGCTCAGCAGCTCAGTGCTTTAACCCACTGCGCCACCGGTATTCTACAAGTTATTAAAGTTATTTGTATTATTTCCATGAACAGAATAAGGATGAAGCAGAGTAGTTTAGTTTATGTGATTATACATTTCTCTTATAAATGTAGGGCTATAACATAAAATTATTTAAGATAAACAGTTAATACAACGCCCTGAACTTTAGATTTTCATTCTTGAAAGGATGAAGTGTTTCTCATATGTTTAAATAATACAACACCACCAAATTACTGTAATTGAATAAACAATGCAGTACATTCTAGAAAAATTGTATCTTTTTCAAGATAGGAAGTCCAGCTATCTGTCTCATAAATGATGTTGGCATGTTTTAATTTTATTATAACTACCATAACTGATAGTCATTATAGAAATACAGTTATAAGAAATACAGTGTTAGAAACATCACCTTTGGTCTTTGCATGCAAGCATAAGGCCAAAGCCAAAATTTTGATAGTCTATAAATAGTAATAAAAAGTAGTTTTTTCCCCAGCAGCCGCTGAGAGGCCCTCCCGCCATCTTTAACTGCCATTCCACTGACTGCTGAGTGGGAGGGAGCCAATCTACCAAGCAGGCACTCTTTAGCAGATGCTAAGAGGCCCTCCCGCCATCTTTAACTGCCATTCCACTGGCCGCTGAGTGCGAGGGAGCCAGTCTACCAACCAGGCACTCTTCAGCAACTGCTAAGAGGTCCTCCTGACATCTTTAACTGCCATTCCAACGGCCACTGAGCGGGAGAGAGCCAGTCTACCAACCAGGCACTCTCCAGAAGCTGCTGAGAGATGCTCCCACCATCTTTAACTACTCCAGGGTGGCCTTTTCCAATGACTTCCTGGCTGACTAGCGTTCTACTGAGGATCTGATTCCATCAAGGTGCCTATGGTCTCACGCAGACCCGACCACCGGCAAGAGCAACGAGTCTGCGACTCAATTGGTGGCTTCCCTGAGCTGTGCTCTACTCGGCCTTCTCTCCCACTGCCCAGCATCAACCTGGAAAGATTGGTGCGACAGAACCTCTCTACTGTAGGGGCACAGGCTCACCAGCACTCCAAACAACCTCTGCATGAGCTCAGGAGTTTCCCAAAGGCCTCTGGCAGCTGTGCAAGGAGGACGTCACAAGTTGAATTCTAACTACAAGCCAAAGGCGACAGAAGGTGCCCACACTGCAGGGTGCTGTTGCCCTCCGCATCAGGAAAAGCTCTTTGACTTTAAACATCACACAGTTGAGTGGAAATGCAATCCGTTTATTGAAGATACTTAAAAAGCAGTAAAAGTAAAAAGCACTTTAAAGGAATAGGTAAATCCAATTAGGTAGGAAGGTAAGCCGGAACAAAATAGTCCAAGGAATTAGTCCATCAAAATTCATGAAAAACAAAGGCAGAAACTTCTATAATAAAATCCAAAAACACTGGAAACATGAATCCAAAGCACTTGCACACATAATCATAAAAACCATGAATTAAAACCATGAATCAAAGGCACTTAAACATGAATCTTTCCAAAGCAAGGCTTCCAAGGAACAGGGACAAGATCTTGACTTGATTCCAAATGATGCTTCATCTGACTAAATATCCTGTACTTGGGACTTTTATCTCCTTGTTAAGCTATATCCCAAGTGGTCAGAAATTGGTTTCATTTTAGCCTTAAACCCTTATCTTTTTTTTTTCTGAGCCTGGCAGAACACCTGAGCCACTGATCTGCTTTTCTATTTTGACTAGTAACATCCCGTCTATCTATTTGCTCATTAATTTCTGCAGCTGGGACAGGTGCCAAGCTGTTCTAAAGTTCCAAATTGGAATTCTCTGGTAGTAATTCAGGGAGAACACCATCATCCCCACACTCTTCAGGGACATTCTCATGAGAAAATACACTTTAAACAGGGATCTCCTGGTCATTCTCTGCATCAATATCATTGGAAACACCATTTCCTTCTCATTGCCATCATTTGCCACATCCAAAGCACCCTGATCCTTAAACACAATCACAGGCTGAGCTCCAACAGGTGCAAAGTTTGTTGCACCTGCAACGGGGTTGCAAGGCTTTTATCACTTTAACAGAAAATTAAAAACTCATTCTCATTGGTGTTCAAAGATCAATTATTCCATTGGTCTAAGCTGGTTAATACAGATTTTCATTGGTTCTCTATAACTCTAAGAAGCAGGTCAACAGCACAATTATGCTTTCACACCTCTGACCCTGATGGTCTACTTTTCTGTTTCAAACATAGACTTCAAGTGACTGAGAGAAATTAGGGAGTGTTAGCTGGTACCAGAACTACTCTGGAGAAATCATCCTTGAGAATAATTCACCTCTCTGTGGCAGTTCTTTATGTCTTATTTCTGGATATGATTATGCTTTGTGTGATTTTTGTATTGTATTTTATGTTAAATGTGCTTTGATTTGTATTGTATTATATTGTGAGCCATAAGGGAGAAAAGCAGATTATAAATAAAGAATTATTATTATTAGTTCAACAAAACTGGAATTAAGAATTGAATATCCTCAACAACAACAAATTAGAAATGGATGTAAAAGCTGCACTCAGAACACTTGGGAGAAATAAATAACCAAGAAGAGATGGCATGACAATAGAGCTGTTGCAAGCTACAGTGATGACAAGTCTGTCAACAAATATGAAATGAAAGAATGGCACAAAGATTGGAGATATCCAATATACATTCCAAGGTATGGCAGTTACCACAGGATCATAGCATTAACTTACCCTGAAAATAAAGTCACACTAAAAAGTCTAAAACAAACACTTTTATCCTACATGGAACACAAAATGCCAGATGCCGAAGTTGGGTTTAGAAAAAGAAGCAGCACTAAGGATCATATTGCAAATGTATGATGGTTAGTACCACACATCAAAGAATTCCAAAATAAAATTACCATGTGCTTTATGAGCCTTTGATTGTGTCTGTAGACCATAAGAACTGTATTTGGGACAAATAGCTACTGCCAGAACCTAATATGCAGAAATGGAATGATTGGTCAGGCAAGACTGCATATCTCAAGCAGGTTGAGATATAGAGGAAGAAGGCACGAACATTGAAGGAATGAATATCAATATATTAAGTTATGCCAATGGCACCTTATTACTTGCTGAAAATAGCAAAGATTTGAAACACTTACTGAAGAAAATCGAGGGGAAAAGTGCAAAGGCAAGTGTCAGAAACCTTGTGCGGGACATAAAGTCTAGATTTTTCAAAACCTTCCATAAACTGACCCTGACTAACTTGCAATGCTTGCTAAAAGACACAGCTAATTTCAGTTATAAACAAAATCAACTTGACCTCTGGAGAAATTCTCACTTTCACATTGTTTATTATAAACAAATAAGATTGTAGAGAACTATTAATCTTTCCACAGGAACACTAACAATAGCACTTTCTTTGTTATTAAAATACTGTTTGACACAGTTTTAAGGTAAATACTAGAAGAAGTTTTATTAGTACTTTTTCCCATTGTTCCTTATATTCTCTTTTCCCAGGCTACTGATGGGAAACATGTAGTGAGCTAAATGCTGCTCGACTGCAACTCCCATCTGAGGAACCAATATAGTAAATGGTAAGGAATTAAACAAATTGCAATCCAGCATCATCAGGAAAGTTGCCTTCTTAAAATACTTTAAACTAGAACTACTATGTTGAGCCATGTAACAGGCTACCTCTTTTCCCCTTGGCTTCGTGCACACCTGCCTGATGTGTGAGACACCGCATTTATCTGTTACAGATTCTTCCATATACCAGAGTGTCTTTTTTAGATTCAAGCTGGACATGGTTCTTGTCAACCAGAAAGACCAGAAAGGCTTTGTATTCAGATTGGGGCTCTGCCTGGGCAAAACAGATTTTTCTTAGTCTTAGCTCTAGTTCACACTGGATGTCTGTTTATGGTTCAGCTTTAATAACGTATGTTTTTTTCTTTTTAGTAGAGATCTGTCAATTTTCTAAAACAGTTATGTTATAAGTAGGGTTCCCAGGTCTATACAATCTAGTTTCCTAAGATTTCAAGGCAAATATGTGAGTTCTAGAAATGACTTGTCTTTAATTGCAGAGTAGGAGGGACCTCGGATGTTATAACAGGAAGTCCCAGGTAATCTCATCAAGCATAATTCATAAAGATCCAACCTCAGTTGTAGAGTATCTGTTCAAATAAAAAAATCAAGTATAATTTGCTCTCATATTTCTCCCCCTTTCCTTTGGGCTGAAGAATAGAGGCCAGACCCTAAGACCAGAAGCAACCCACCAGATTTTGAAGTCTAGTGCTTAAGTGCTGCTTGCAAATGAGAGTACATTTGCAAGTCAGCAGATGCATCCATAATATATTCTGCAATACTAGGGTCAACTGATCCAACAAAATGACCTTTCTTGCTTGTGTCTCAAATGGCAAGTATTAGTCAGCACATTTGTGAAAACTAGCAAGACTTCAAGATGAATCAGTTTACAAAGTAGGACAGGCTAAAGGGGTATTCAGTCACCCAGCAATAGTATTTTTAGGCTTCTGAGGTTTACACTTCTGCACTCATTACAAGGAAGTAACTGGGATACACTTCTAGGACGGGTTTTCAGAATTTGAACTATCAAACACACTAGTAAAATATGGTCAGATTACATTCAATTAAGAAGGAACAACAGACCAATTGATTCTTCATTGAATGCTGATAAGTAAAATCCTGAAAAAAAGAAATAAATGCAAATTTTGTACAATGGCGAAAAAACAGATATGGAATAAAGTTTAAAAGAAAATTAAGGTGAGTCAAAACGGTAAATATTGAAAGATTTAGTGGGGGGGGGGGGGATTGAGAACACTAACAACAGTTCTACCAAACAGTAAGAAAGTATACAGAAATATGCATCTGTGGAATTGGACTTAGCCTATGAACGTTAATGCTACCATGTTCATCTCTTCAGTTAGTCTATAAGATGTTATAAAAACTCTTTTCACATTGATTATTCCACACTAACATAGACATGTATTTGAATTCTATCCTCATGGAAACATTGGGAAGGATTGGTGTATCTGTGCATAACAAAAACAAGCAAACAAACAAACGTGGTTTCTTTTTCTCCTGCCTTACACAGACCAAGGAGACCAAACTACCTCAACTGATGGAAAATTAGTTTATTGAGTCGCATTTGAGTCTGTATCATACTTTTGATTTCTGTGATCAAAAAATCCCTTATATAATAGCTTGGAAAGTGATATTTTTAAACCATTAGTAATTACTTGTTGCCGTAAATGATTTTTCCAAACTCTGATCATATCTATATGGAAGAACATATTGTGCCCGTCGCCCTGTGGTGGAACTTCTGGCTTAAGTTCATTATAGAACTGCACTAGAGGCATAGACATAACGTTTCCCTGTACCCTGCTAGATTCTCCAAAGGGAAATTGTTGTATTCAAACAGTACTTAAGAAGCTTGCATAACAAGTAGGCCTAATATACATGTTTGCTGCCTTTCTTTTCTTTCCCTCAGCTTTTCAAGGGTATTTCTGTATAGTTGCTGGCAAAGCATTTTAGAAGGCATAAGGGCTTTGAAATACATAATTACAAAAATGGTGTTAGTAATCCAGATTATCCTCATGTGGATTAGAATTCCTTTTTGCAAATTTGGTACTCAGCCAACCCAAAATTCTGCTGGTCTTGGATACATTATGAATTCAGTGACCATCTCACTCAGTTTAATAGCCTTGGCTATGTTTTCTTTCTACAGGTGAGGCAGCATAACTTCCTTTTTTAAAATGCGCACCATTCAGTCGGTTGAAGATGTAGCGGTGCACTAGTGGTCTCATTCGAGAGGCGGGAGTATAAAGTTTTGTCCTGACACAGTTCAGTCGCCATCATGCATTGGAACAGTGAGGAGCGTGCTTTTGCTGTTGAGGTCTACTTTTCAAGCAGATTTGGAGTGGTCGGCCCGCTCTCCAGATTTGGCCCCTTGTGATTTTTTTCTATGGGTCTTTTTGAAACCCCATGTTTATGTGAACCGTCCAAGGACCCTACAAGATTTGGAGACCAACATCCAGGAAGAAATTGCCAACATAACGCCTGCTATGCTGGCAAACGCCAGAAATCGGTTTACTCAGTGTATGGAGAATGGGGGATGTCACCTATCTAATTTGATCTTCAAAACTACGTAAAACAAAACTTTAGGTAGACGCCTACATTATAAATTTTTTTCTGATTCATACAATGGGTTTTATTAAGTTTTGAAAAAAGGAAGTTATGCTGCCTCACCCTGTATGATGATAAAGGGAATATCAAACTGAAGAGCGGAAAGATACAGTCTGAAGACACAACAGCTCCCTCTACCAAATGTAACTTCTATTAAATGAGCATTCAGTTTCCACCATGGTCAGCCAAATACTGCTGGAAAGCTCACAAGAGGGAAACGAGTATACTAGTAACACTTCTTTATCCGTTTCCAACAACTGATATTCAGAATACTAACTCTGATCATGGAAGCGATATACAACCATCACATATGGCCTTATCTTTCATGAATCTGTCTTGCTCCTTTTAAAACAATGTTTTAAAACAAGTCAGTAGCTGTTGCTATATCTTGTAGCAATGTACACAAGACATGACTTAGGACATGTTAAGAGAAGTATTTCACACAACACACTGCTAAACTATAAACTATGACATTATATATGGTGTAAAGGGCAATGTTCCTCTTTACCTTACTATAATCAGGAAATATCCAATTAAGTTTAATTGCACAACCCTTGACTTTAATAAGATAAGGGAAAAGGATTTTTCCCTCCATACTGTGTGCATAACATTATAGACCTCTATCAAGCCACCCTTGGGGCTGTAGCTTGACTTTATGGGAAACAACTTTGGACAAACAAGTGGCAACAAACTACAGAAGTCTTTTTGACTCAACATAGCGGAGCAGCTCACCTAATATTCACAAGCTCTTCAATTGAGCCTGCTCATCTCTTTGAGCAATCTGGGTTCATCTTTTGAAGCAGTTGTTCTTTATGTATTTGTTATATTCATCTGCTATTGAAAACAAAAATTCTTGAATGCTCCATTCTGGTTTCAGAACATGAAGCAGAAGATTATTGAGTCATCATGTTTAAAACAATGGTCAAAATAATGACTGAAATGCCCCACTAAAACTTATGTGGTTAGCATCAAGGTGAAGTACTTTCTTGTTCCTTATTTCATTGAATTGAGAAAACAGCTTTACAACTACTTACTTAATTCCAGAAGAAATGTAAAATTTAATGGAGGTGTATAATTTTTATCCTAATAACGTAAGCCCAAGTTCTTTTTCAAATTGCATGCAATGTTCTGTGCTTATGTCAGCATATTCTTTGGGTTCTAGTGTGACATCACTGTTTCTATAGGAACTATTCTACAAATATATAATCAGAAATAAACTTCAACTGCCCTGCAATATTTAAGCTACAATTCATTTTTCTACTTTTGAACCACTCTAGAAATTTCTCATGTGAAATTATGTAGTATACACAAAACCCAATCACAGAAAAAGCACGAAAATGTCCTGAAATGGATGGTTGTAATAGTATTGTTTCTAATGATATAAGGTTTGGGATCCAAACATACTATAATGTATGTACTGCACTGATGGGCTTGGCCTCGTGTAAGCTGCACTGAGTTCCCTTGGGGGAGATGAAGCGGGGTATAAATAAAGTATTATTATTATTATTATTATTATTATTATTGCAGTCAAATGTATTCAAAAGTAAATCCTATTCTCCAGGGCCACAGAAAACAAGCCTTTTTCCTCTTCCTTCAGTTGTGATTTAACTACAAATGTCAACACATTCTCTAATGGAGGAGTAGGAACTGCATAGCCCTCCAGATGTTGTTGGACTACAACTCCCAGCATTCCTCACCTTTGGCTGTGGTGGGTAGAACTCACTGCAGGCTAACAATATCTGAAGAAGAATATGATCTCCATCCCTGTATTAAACCATTTTTCAAAGGTACTGTGAAGTCTAAAGAGACTCCAGTTTATATAATTTCTCAAGCAAAGGGAAAATGTCTAATAGCTTCCTATCAGTAAAACCTATAGCTGCTAAATGGACACGTACTCATTTGAATTATCTTTAAGTAGATACTAGCAGACATGTTCTAATATCAGTAAGCAGCAACACACTTCTTTTTACAATTAACCTTATTTCAAAATTAAGGCAAATTATTGTTCAAGATACCTGGCAATTACGTACTTCTTTTCGGAAACATGTTTTACTAAGTTTAGTGAGGCTTACTCCCAGATATGGTTGCAATCCTTACGTGTTTAAACAATTCTAAACATTGAAACCTCGTCTATAGTCATAATCAGAATGGCAAGGAGGACAGACTGTTAGAAACCTTTCAGAGTATGTAAGACATATGAAGAATTAGAGTATACATTGGCAAATTGGAGTCCTGAGATCCAGTGTGACCTTAGTGGCTACTATGACTTTTTATTCAAAATAAAATGGGAGCAGTGATCACTTTCACAGCACAGAGCTGTAGCAATTTGAAAACACACTGAATACTCTACCTTCACTCCATCAGTTCATAGAATTTGAGAATAAAGTTATAATGTATTTAAAAATCCCCACAAACAAAGTTAAGCACTTGGCATTATACTACATTTCCTTTGACCAGAAACTGGCCACTTCGAGTGACTCTGGTGTCGCTGTAAGAAGGTCCTCCATTGTGCATATGGCAGGGCTCAGACTGCATTGCAGCAAATGGTCTGTGGTTTGTTCTTCTCCACACTCGCATGTCATGGACTCCACTTTGTAGCCCCATTTCTTGAGATTAGCTCTACATCTTGTGGTACCAGAGCGCAGTTTGATCACCATCTTTCAAGTCACCTAGTCTTCTGTGTGCCCAGGAGGGAGTGTCTCATCTGGTATCAGTTTCTCATCTGCTTCTTGGCAGGGGGTTGGACTGGATGGTCCACAAAGTCTCTTCCAACTCTATGATTCTATGATCAGCCACTGATTGAGGTTCTGGGTTCTTATCTGCCACTTTTGGACTCTCGTTTGCTGCGGTGTTCCTGTGAGTATCTCCATAGATCTTAGAAACCTATTTCTTGATTTAAGACATTGTAATGCTGGCTGATATTCAGACAGAGGATGGGCTAGAGATAATAGTTATAACTTTATTTTTGTACGCTGGCTCCATCTCCCTGAAGGGACACGAGGCGGCTTACATATGGCACAATGTGCGTAAAACAATGCATAATAAACACACAATCTATATAAATAAAAAACAATGTTCATTTGTGGGATTAACATAACTCAAAAACCACTGGGCAGATTGACACCAAATTTGGACACAATGCACCTAGCAGACCAACGAGTGACCATCACTCATAAAAACACTGAAAAACACAGCAGAAAAGACTTTAAAAGCCAAAAAATAAAAATTACATTACAATGCATGCGCAAAACCACATATATATACACACACCTATACACATGTATATAAACACAAAACACATATACTGGGCCACAGCAACGTGTGGCAGGGGACGGCAAGCATACATACATACATACATACATACATACATACATACATACACACACACACACACACAGTGATTTCACATTGTTTGAGGTGCTTATTTATATTGTTTCTTGTATTTTATTTTTATATTTTATTGTTGTTGTTTGTTGTTTTATTTGCATTGCTGTACTGTTGGACTTGGCCTCATGTAAGCCACCCCGAGTCCCCTTGGGGAGATGGTGGCAGGGTATAAATAAAGTTGTTGTTGTTGTTGTTGATATTATTAATCTCAGTTCAAAGCAGAAAAATGTGGGATTTTCTGCCTTGATATTCTGGGATATAGGGCTGTGTGGGAGGGTCCTAAGTCCACACTGTTAGAAAAACCAATACAAGATAAAACCAATAACATATAAACCAAAGTTGTCAATGCCTTGGTCCTTTCATTACTGGCTGCTACTTTCTGATGGATATCACGTGGTGCAATACCAGCTAAACAGTATAATTTATCCTAATCAACCCTGGGGATCAAGAGGTGACAGGTGTCGCAGTCTGATCGCCCTCACATCCAAACAGCCACATCCGCTGTTTTAAACATAGTGAGATGTATTCCACACTGGGCATGTGTATTCAGCAGCAGAGTAGCAAAGTGCAAGGGCAGATGTATTCACTGTAGAATTTATTTATTTATTTATTTATTTATATCCCACTTTTCTCCCACATTGGGTATTCAAAGTAGCTAACAATAATGTATAAGGTATAAAACATACAGGCACATTAGGACAAAAAGGAAATAGATGTATTCATTAATAACAATTAAAATATAATAAGACAATTAAACCATAATAAAACACATTACAGATTGAAATACAACCAGGACTTCAGGTATAGTTAAAAACTAAATAAATATAAACCAAAGTCATTATTCTTACCATTGCCACTTGCCCATAAGGTACTGCACAAAAAGGTTCAGCCCCAGATGTTACTATAGTGCCTATTGCTCTTGTATTAATCTTCATTAAAGACCTGATTCCAGAGAAAAGATTTTATCTGACACCTGAAAGTTAGTATGGAGGGAGCCATTCTGATGACTTTCAGAAGGGAATTTCAGAGCTGTGGAGCAACCACTGAGAAGACCCCCTCTCTCATTTCCACCAATCGTATTTGCGACAGTAGTGGGACTGAGAGAAGGGTCTCTCCTGTTGATGTCAGGGTTTGTGCAGGTTCATAGAGGGAGATGCAGTCTTTTAAGTAGACTGGGCCCGAGTCGTGTAGGACTTTATAGATCTTCATTATCGGGACCAGATGGAAGTCAGATGGTGCTAAATCTGGATTGTATGGAGGATGTCGTGTGGTGGTGAGATCTAGTCTCTGAATTTTCAAGTCTGTGCACTTTCATTTCAGGCGTCAGCATCCTGGGTACCCATTGTGTACAGATCTTCCAATAGGCAAAAAAAGCAATAATGTGATCCACTAATTCTTGTGAAATGCCAATTATGCTTGAAATTTCTTTCTGAGTGATACGACGATCATCATGAATCAATCTGTCAACCTTTTGCTTGTGAAACGCGGTGGTTGCTGTCATAGGACTTCAAACACTTTGTTTGTCATGCAGGTCAGATGTTCCCACCTCAACATCTTTAAACTTGCTCACCCAACGATGCACAGTACTCACATCAACACAATCACCATAAACAGCTTGCATTCTCTGATGAATCTCCTTTGGGGCGACTCCTTCTGCTGTCAAGAATTCAATGACTGCATGTTGCTTAAGTGACATTGACCGACCACTGCGCAGGGTTCCATACTTTGCACTTTAACAACAACACTGTTCAATGCTAAGGCTTCCTGCCAAAATGAAACTGTAAAGGAGAGTCTACTGAACAAGCCAGTATCTGCCACATACCAGTACTGCCATCTGTTGAGGAGTTACGAAGGTCATCATCATCATCTTTAATTACTTATTAATCGCCCTCCATCCGAGATGCTCCAGGCGATTTACATTGCAGAAATTATACAGGATAAAACACATACATACAAATATTAAAATTAACATGGGTCAAATGCTGTAGTAAAAAGCTAGGTCTTAAGTGCCAGGATAAAATGCCCTAAGTCGCGCATGGTTCTCAAATAGGGAGGCAAGAAATAGAGAAGGCCCTGCGTCTGGTGCTTTCCAAGTGCACTTCCCTAGGACCCAGTATATAGAGCAAATCGCGTTGGGATGGTCGTGGCGACCTCCAATGAAGGAGAGACGGTCTCTAAGATACAATGGACCCTGGCCATATAAAGTTTTAAATGTCAGGACCAGCATCTTATACAAACCACGATACTCAATTGGGAGCCAGTGTAGATGCCGCAGCACTGGTGTTATATGACATTTCATGGGCATTTTTGTGAGTAACCTGGCTGCAGCATTCTGGACAATATGGAGCTTTCGGGTAGTAGAAATAGGAAGGCCAACATACAAGGCGTTACAATAGTCCAGCCTAGATGTGACCGTGGCATGGATGACTGTTGCCAGAGCCTCATCCGACAGGTAAGGTGCCAGTTGCTTCGCTTGTCGTAGATGGAAAAAGGCCTGTTTGCTGGCAGCAGCAACCTGAGCCTCCATCGTCAGCTGCGAATCCAAAACGACACCTAGACTCTTAATGGTAGGCGATGGAGATAGAGCAGTGCCATCAAAGGTAGGTAACAGATAGGTTGGACCTATCGGGCGGCCATGCCACAGGATCTCAGTCTTTGCCGGATTCTCCTTCAGTCTGCTAGCACATAATCAGTTCGAAAAAGCCTCCAGGCATAAGGTCAAATTGTCAGGTATTGACGTTACTCCAGGCTCCAAGCGCAACAGGAGTTGGGTGTCGTCCGCATATTGATAGCAGTCCAGGCCGAATCTCTGAGCCAAACTGGCAAGGGGTCTAATGTAGATGTTGAAAAGAAGAAGGGAGAGAATTGCACCTTGGGGTACCCCGCATATTGAAGGTGAAGGCATTACTTTTCATGCAACCCTTGTATGCTTGAATTGCTGCTTCCAGAATCTCAAAACCTGCTACAGGAAATGTCCCCCCTTCTTGTTCAACCCAAGCTCCTTTGTCAATCACATAGTGCAGAAGGAGGAAGAGGGACTGCCAACTATGGGATAGGTGGTCCTCTGGTTGATGCAGCTGGCAGCGAATGAAGTGGAAGAGGGGTGGCAGTTGGGCCTCTAACTAGCCTCAGACAAATGTCAGCATTCTGGAAGAAGCATAGATCACCAACACTAAAACACTGATTCTCCGCCCTCAACTTTGCTGAACTGGCCATGTTGTTGAAATGTCACATCACCATCTTCCAGAGCACTTACTTTATTCTCAACTCTAGAACAGAAAACAATCTCTTAAAAAGAAATTTAAAAACTGACTTAAAGCTAACCTAAAAAAAGTGATATAAATACTAAGAAATGGAGCGCAGTGACACTCAAGTGTTGTAAGGCCACCTGTTACCAACTGTGCCATGATATTAAGTAAAGGTGAAGATTTTACTTGACATTCAGACTAGTCATGTCCGACTTTGGGGGGAGGGGTGCTCATCTCCATTTCTAAGCTGAAGAGCGGGCATTGTTTGAAGACAACACCTAGGTCCCTGATGGTGAACCTATGACACGTGTGTCAGCACTGACACGCCTGGCTATTTTTGATGACACACGGCCACATGCAGCCGCATACAGAGAAGTACACCTTATAAGAGCCAATCTAATTCCATCCTTAAATTTGTAAAAGGCTCTACAGATTTAACATCTGCACGTTTGAGCATTGTTCACTCCATAACTCAGCCTGGAATATGCATTTTTCTTATTTAAACTATAAATATTGCAAAATTATGTTTTTTCTCTCTTGAAGTTGACACCCCACCCAAGTTATGCTCTGGTTTTTGGCAAATTTTGACACACCAAGCTCAAAAGGTTGCCCATCACTGTCCTAGGTCATGTGGCCAGCATGCCTGCATGGAGCACTGTTACCTTCCCACTGAAGCAGGATCTATTGATCTACTCACATTTGTATGTTTTTGAACTGCTAGGTTTATTTTATTTATTTATTTATTTACTTTATTTATATACCGCTTTTCTCAGCCCTCAGGCAACTCAAAACGGTGAACAACATCGATACAAAACATCACGAGACAAGTATAGGGCAATTAAAAACAATTGTAACATAAATCATTAAACATCAGTATAACAATCATTAGCGCCTCAACAGTAAAATCAGAATCCAGTCTCATCATCCATTATTCCGTATTCCTATGTTCAATTACACTGTTTAATCAAATGCTTGTTCGAACAGCCAGGTCTTCACTTTCCTCCGGAACGCCAGCAGCGAGGGGGCTGATCTGATATCTGCAGGCCGAGGGGCCACCACTGAGAAGGCCCCGTCTCTACTCCCCGCCAAGCGCGCCTGTGCTGCAGGCGGGACAGAGAGCAGGGCCTCCCCAGATGATCTTAGTGTCCTAGTCGGTTCATAGGAGGAGATGCGTTCAGAGAGGTAAGTAGGGCCAGAACCGTTTAGGGCTTTATAGGCTAAAGCCAGCACTTTGAATTGTGCCCGGTAGCAAACTGGTAGCCAGTGGAGCTGGCACAACAGAGGAGTAGTATGCTCCCTGAGTGCTGCTCCTATTAGCAACCTGGCTGCCAAACGCTGGACCATTTGAAGCTTTCGAGCAGTCTTCAAAGGCAACCCCACGTAGAGAGCGTTGCAGTAGTCTATACGGGTGTTTGAGGACCAGGACATCCGTAGGGATACCAAGGTGCTTGTTTATAAAGCTATTGTCCTCCCAACCCTGCTCTATGCCTGTGAGACGTGGACTGTCTACAGACGTCACATGCAACTCCTGGAACGATTCCATCAGCGCTGCCTCCGGAAAATCCTGAAAATCTCTTGGGAAGACAAGCGGACAAACGTCAGCGTGCTGGAAGAAGCAAAGACCACCAGCATTGAAGCGATGGTCCTCCGCCATCAACTCTGCTGGACCGGCCATGTTGTCTGGATGCCTGACCACCGTCTCCCAAAGCAGCTGCTCTACTCCGAACTCAAGAACGGAAAACGGAATGTTGGAGGACAGGAAAAGAGATTTAAAGATGGGCTCAAAGCCAACCTTAAAAACTCTGGCATAGACACTGAGAACTGGGAAGCCCTGGCCCTTGAGCGCTCCAGCTGGAGTCAGCTTTGACCAGCAGTGCTGTAGAATTTGAAAAGGCACAAATGGAGGGTAAAAGAGAGAAATGCCAGGAGGAAGGCGCGTCAAGCCAACCCCGACCGGGACCACCTTCGACCTGGAAACCAATGCCCTCACTGCGGAAGAAGATGCAGAGCAAGAATAGGGCTCCACAGCCACATACGGACCCATAAGAATATTGGAAGACAATCATCCTCGGAAAGTGAGGGATCGCCTAAGTAAGTAAGTCTATACGGGATGTAACCAGAGCGTGGACTACCGTGGCCAAGTCAGACTTGGCGCACAAGTTTTAACTGTGCGAATGCTCCCCTGATCACCGCTGAAACTGGGGTTCCAGGCTCAGCGACGAGTCCAAGATCACACCCAAGCTATGAACCTGCGTCTTCAGGTTGGCAGAAAGAAGCTGTGGCTAACAATGGGAGCTCACCCAGCTCCCTGGATTAGAACCACTGACCTTTCGCTCAGCAAGTTCAGCAGCTCAGTGTTCCTGAACACAGGTGACTGGCCCCTCCCTCCGTCTCTTGCTCACCATCTCTATAATCTTGGTCTTGCGGCCCGTCTTCTTCTTCACGGTGAAGATGTACTGGGCCAGGACCACTCCTCCGACCAGGGCGCACACGCTGGCGCTGGCCACCGCTCCCATTCTGGCCACCGCGCTCTTGTCCATGGCGGGAAGGAGGAGGCACGGGCAGCGCCGAAAGACCCGGCAAAGGGGCAGAAGTCCTCCCCTCCTTCGCCGCTTCCGCTCCCTCAGCCGACCAACTGTGAGGAAAAGGAACTGCCGGGTCTAGTGGGCGATACCATTCCGACCCGAGGAGGCTCCAAGTCATTTTTAAAAAATTGTCTCTTTAAATTTGACATTCAAAACCCCTTTGCCACTTTTAAATATAAGCCGGAAAACGGAGCGACGGAATGAGCCTTAACGATAGTGTGGCGGACCTTTCTTATTTTCTTCGCCCCCCCCCAAAAACATAATGGTACAATCCACAGCGTTCCCTCAGCGCACGGCGCACAGAGACTACACCTCCCAGAGTGCACTGCGCCGCCTAGCGCTTTGGTTTGGAGGCGGGCGCGAGGCGGAGTCGATATTTTGGTTTTGCGGGGCGCCATGACAACGGGAGGAAAGATGGCGGCGCTGAGGAGAGGCTAGGCTGCAGTTGCACCGAAGAGGCATTGCTGTTGCTGAGGGGAGCCTCAACTTTCGCTTGGCTTCCCTCACGGGCGGGAAAGAGGACCGTCTCTGGGTGAGTGGAAGGGACTCCTTGGCGGGCACGCAGCCTCCCGAGCCTCTGCACGTGTTCTCGGTAATTCAAGGCGGCTTAGCAACAAAAAAGCATGGATTAACAGAGCAGCCTGACAGTCCAGTCTTGCAAATTGGTACCCAGAAGCGAGTCCCTTGAACAGAGCTGCAGCTACAGGAATCAGCGCCATGGGAGCTTAGTCGCAGGATGGACGTTCACTTAGAACAGTGGTTCTCAACCTGTGGTCCCCAGATGTTTTTAGCCTCCAATTCCCAGAAATCCTAATAGCTGGTAAACTGGCTAGGATTTCTGGGAGTTGTAGGCCAAAAACATCTGGGGACCCATCATAGAATCATAGAATAATAGAGTTGGAAGAGACCTAATGGGCCATCCAGTCCAACCCCCTGCCAAGAAGCAGGAATATTGCATTCAAATCACCCCTGACAGATGGCCATCCAGCCTCTGTTTAAAAGCTTCCAAAGAAGGAGCCTCCACCACACTCCGGGGCAGAGAGTTCCACTGCTGAACGGCTCTCACAGTCAGGAAGTTCTTCCTCATGTTCAGATGGAATCTCCTCTCTTGTAGTTTGAAGCAATTGTTCCGTGTCCTAGTCTCCAGGGAAGCAGAAAACAAGCTTGCTCCCTCCTCCCTGTGGCTTCCTCTCACATATTTATACATGGCTATCATATCTCCTCTCAGCCTTCTCTTCTTCAGGCTAAACATGCCCAGCTCCTTAAGCCGCTCCTCATAGGGCTTGTTTTCCAGACCCTTGATCATTTTAGTCGCCCTCCTCTGGACACATTCCAGCTTGTCAATATCTCTCTTGAATTGTGGTGCCTAAGAATTGGTGTTGGAGGAAAGTGCTGAGAGTGCCTTGGACTGCGAGAAGATCCAACCAGTCCATCCTCCAGGAAATAAAGCCCGACTGCTCACTGGAGGGAAAGATACTAGAGACAAAGTTGAAGTACTTTGGCCACATCATGAGGAGACAGGAAAGCCTAGAGAAGACAATTATGCTGGGGAAAGTGGAAGGCAAAAGGAAGAGCGGCCGACCAAGGGCAAGATGGATGGATGGCATCCTTGAAGTGACTGGACTGACCTTGAAGGAGCTGGGGGTGGTGACGGCCGACAGGGAGCTCTGGCGTGGGCTGGTCCATGAGGTCACGAAGAGTCGGAGACGACTGAACGAATGAACAACAACAAGAATTGGACACAATATTCCAGGTGTGGTCTAACCAAAGCAGAATAGAGAGGTAGCATTATTTCCCTAGATCTAGACACCAGGCCTGTAGCGAGGGGGTGGTTTTAGGGGTTCAACCCCCCCCCCCCGAAATGTTTCAGATTTTTTTAAAAAACCTGGTTTACTCATGAATTTTAACTGGTTAACCAAATCCCCATGCTAAGTCTATGAGATGCAAAAAATTAAGAGTCCCTCCAGAACTGCAAGCACTATCTCAAGCAAATATTGACAATTTATTCACACTGTAATTACTTGCAGCAATAGCCAATGTAGCGAAGCAACCAAGTTGGGGGGGGGGGTGTTGAATGCTCTCATTAAGGAGGCCAGACTTGGTGGAGGTGGTTGACAGGGGCGGAGCTGCAGGCTATTGAAGGCTGCTCTGCCCTCTGCTGTGCTCTTTGCTTCAGTGTGAGCTAGGAGGCAGGTTTCAACCCCACCCCCCTGCGAAATTTTCAACCAGCCCCCCCCCCCAATTTCAACCCCTCCCGAAATTTTCTTCTGGCTACGGCCCTGCTAGACACTATGCTCCTATTGATGCAGGCCAAAATCCCATTGGCTTTTTTTGCCGCCACATCACATTGTTGGCTCATGTTTAACTTGCTGTCCACGAGGACTCCAAGATCTTTTTCACATGTACTGCTCTCAAGCCAGGTGTCGTCCCCCATTCTGTATCTTTGCATTTCGTTTTTCCTGCCAAAGTGGAGTATTTTGCATTTGTCCCTGTTGAACTTCATTTTGTTGAATGAGGAGATTGCAAGGCCCCTTCCACACAGCTGGATCAAATCCCACATTATCTGTTTGGAACCGGGATATATGGAACGTGTGGTGGCTTCGCAACTCCAGGGGTTCTTGGTAGACACCGATTATCTAGATCCAGCACAGTTTGGCTTTAGGCCAGGACATAGAAATGAAACAGCCTTGGCCGCCTTAGTACAGGGGTCCTCAAACTTTTTAAACAGAGGGCCAGGTCACAGTCCCTCAAACTGTTGGAGGGCCGGATTATAATTTGAAAAAGACCATGGATGAATTCCTATGCACACAGCACGTATCTTATTTGTAGTACAAAAAAACACTTAAAACAATACTATAATTAAAATGAAGAACAATTTTAACAAATATAAACTTATTAGTATTTCAATGAGAAGTGTGGGCCTGCTTTTGGCTAATGAGGTAGGATTATTGTTGTGTGCTTTCAAGTCATTTCAGACTTAAGTTGACCCTGAGCGAGGGCCAGGTTAATGACCTTGGAGGGCCGTATCCGGCCCTTGGGCCATAGTTTGAGGACCACTGCCTTAGATTATCTTCGCCAGGAGCTAGAAAGGGGGAGTGTGTACCTGTTGGTTCTGCTGGACCTCTCAGCGGCCTTCGATATCGTTGACCACGGTATCCTTCTGAGACGCCTCACAGAAATGGGACTTGGAGGTACTGCTCTGCAGTGGCTCCAGTCCTTCCTGGAGGGACGGTCCCAGAAGGTGTTATTGGGTGACACCTGTTCGATTCCACAACCATTATCTTGTGGAGTCCCTCAGGGTTCAGTACTGTCCCCAATGTTGTTTAACATCTACATGAAGCCGCTGGGGGAGATCATCCGGAGTTTCGGAGTACAATGTTATCTGTATGCAGATGACGTCCAAATCTGTCACTCCTTCCCACCTGTTACTAAGGAGGCTGTTCAGACCTTGAACCTGTGCTTGGCTGCTGTGTTGGACTGGATGAGGGCTAAAAAACTGAAACTGAATCTAGACAAGACAGAGGTCCTCCTACTCAGTAGAACGGCCGAACAGGGCATAGGGTTACAGCCTGTGTTGGATGGGGTTACACTCCCCCTGAAGACGCAGGTTTGCAGCTTGGGAGTGATCCTGGATTCATCGCTGAGCCTGGAACCCCAGGTGGCCAGGGGAGCTTTTGCATAGTTAAAGCTTGTGCACCAGCTGCACCCATACCTTGGGAAGTCTGATCTGGCAACAGTTTTCCACACTCTACCAGTATTTCAGTGGGAATGGTGGGCCTGCTTTTGGCTGATCAGATAGTCATGTTAAATCAGATTCTTGTTGTTGTGTAAGTTGAAGTTGTTTCAGACTTAGGGTGACCCTAAGTCTAAAGTTTAGACTAGGAGCCGAGAAAATGACCTTGGAGGGCCGCATGTGGCCCGTGAGCCTTAGTTTGAGAACCCCCTGGTCCAGTTCAAAGCAGATAATGTGGGATTTTTTCAGCTATATGGGCTCCAGTTCAAAGCTGATATTGTGGCATTTTCTGACTTGATATTCTGAGTTATATGGTTGTATGGAAGGGCCCTCAGTTATGATAATGCCAAAAGTTTATTTGTTACCCACCTCTCCTCACAACACAGTTAAAACACCCAGGTAAAATACACAAAAAAACCCACATAGATTAACTTTCCAAACAATTTGTCATGACACAAGAGCATCCATAGTCTCCTCATTGACTCCGTGTTGTGGCACTTTGCGACACCATATTTTTTGAAAATTGCATTTAGAACTTTTTGGAAAACAACTTTTGGAGTACATAAATTTTATGGAGAAGCATGACCTTCCAGAGAAGAGCCAAAAACCCTTTAGAATAGAACCTTCTCTTGTGGTATACAACCAAATATAATTACACAAAGCATTTGTTTCAGTTGTTAAACTGAATAACCTGTTATATCTCCTCTGTTAGGAAAACAGAGATTTGAAAGTGCATAAAACAGCTGAGCTTTAGAAGTGTTTTTCAGTGCCCAAAAATATATACTCTCCCGTAAAACAACTTGTTTCGTATCATGCACCCAGGAGACAAAAATGAAGTAGAACTTAATGGTACGCTAGTATTTATAAAACAAACAACCTCCTTGATATTGCTGAAAAAACCAAGCTCATTCTATCATTGCTCAAGGAACTTTTGCAGAACTTTCCCTGAAGAATTCCCACAGTTAGTTGATCTCGGATACTGTCCCCAATGTTGTTTAACATCTACATGAAGCCGCTGGGGGAGATCATCCGGAGTTTCGGATGATCTCAGATCAACTAACTTTCATTGGTGGGTTGGTGTTTGAAGGTAAACTACACTCTCCCCTTCCTGTGTATTAGAGAGTTGAGTGTGATTTTATTATAAAATCAATTATAAATTTGATTTTTAAGACTTTTCATGGAGCCCCTTCAGCGCTTTTGCAAAAAATGTTGAAAAGTGTGTGTTTAAAGTATTTGTTTAATGTGTCTTTCTTAGTGCTGCTGAGCCAAGTGAAGGATTATTGAATCTTTAGCCTCTTCTCTTTCACCACGTGCTAGATAACTGGAGGCAGGTATTAGAACAGCCTATTTGTGTCCTGCTGGATTGAGTTCCTTATCTGAAGTCACAAGGGCAACTCCAAGGCAATTACAGTAGAGATCTATATGGAATACATTTAATGACTTTTAAAAAGCTACTTGGGATCTAGAATGAAAAACACTACTAGGGCATCCGTAGACTGGAATATTTCTGCCTCTCTGTGACAACAGCTGCATTTTCAAATTGAGTTGTACTTGTTCTTTTGTAGAACATGAAAAAAGTACTAAAAACATCACTGTATAGTCTGTTATTAAAGAAAAGAAGTATGAGGAGGTTGAACAAGTTGTATAGTTAACACAATAATTTCATGCAGTATTCAGAAAAAAATACCTTAACTTGGTTGCAGTGTGTCAATATTAATGACAAGTTTGCTTAAGCATTTTGTTTTTTTCTCCAACTAGGCCTGAGGGAAGATGTCTTTATTTAAGGCCCGTGAGTGGTGGTCTACAGCAGTTGGCAACAATGAAGAATTTGATCAAGGATGTTTATGTGTTGCTAATGTTGACAATAGCAGTAATGAGCAAGGTAAGTGCATATTGCTAGATACGTAAGTGATACTGTTTATACATGTTATTACTTGTAACCACAGGTGTCTAATGACATTTTCACAAAGTAGGGATTGCAAATCCCAAGTGAATTTTTAAAAACTCACTTTTTAGAGTGTGGGGAAGGATGCCTTATTAGGTTTACTGGGATATACATTTGTGTTGATATGCTTAGAATGAATAAATTGAGCCTTAATCTAGGCTCATAGCCAGCCAAAAGGCAGATCAGAGAACAGGGATTCAGGCTGTGCTGCATGAGACAACACTTTATCTGAAGGTATAGGTTCACAGGCTGGGTGTATTCCTGGAAACCAACCCCAGAGCCAGAAATCTTTAGTATTGGCAAGGAGAATATTTGCTCAGTTAAACATGGTGAGGTTGTGAAAGTGGGCCTTCCTGTCATTGCTCCTAGGCTCTAGAGCAGTGATGTCCAACCTTTTGGGTTCCCTGGGCCACATTGGAAGAAGAAGAATTGCCTTTGTTCACACACTGCCATAACACTGAAGCCACAGTCATTAATAGTGAGAGTATATGGCACATATTGGTGCCTTGCTTAGTACAAAATACTTTTTCAGAATTAATTTTATGCAACATTTCAATAGAGTCCACTTGCTCTTTATTTTATTAGTTACTTTCAACAGTTTATGGTTTCTTCTGGCTGAACTTTTGCAATTACAAATTATGAATAATACTCCTGCAATATTCTGCTTATTCCATTCTGTAGTCCCCTACAAAGTTCTTGCTCAAAAACCATATGATTGAATTCCCCAAAATTCTTAATATTCTGAGTAAGTTTGTGATTTTGTGTCGGGTGTCTTGGACTACAAATGACCCATGGACTGCAAGTTGGACAAGCCTGCTCTAGACTTTTCCTCTTAAGAAGGCTAGATTGCTGCCTTCTTTGCTGACCATCTATTGGCAGAAAATACTTTGTTTTTACAGTCTCGAGAGAACTGTCTGTTTTTAAAGAAAGGGCCTTAACAGTGCACTCTATTGTGATTTATTTATTTATTTTTCTATTTCATGTTTTAATTGTCTTTAATGTTAGAGTTTATTTTACTGATCAACTTTAAAAAAATATACTGTGTTGTTTTAGTGTTGTGAGTTGCTTTGAGTCTTAATTTTGAGGGAAAAGGTCGGCTATAAATAAAGTTAATAATGTTAGCTAAACATTTTTGCCATCTCATCTATTATATGTTTATTTGAAAGTAAGTTCTACTGAGTTTTTTTTACAGTATATTCTAGAAAATACATGGGATTGCAATAATAGAATTCTGTCTGGTACAGAAGAACAAGGGCAACAGAAAATATTTTTGTACAAGCTTATTTTTATGACTTGGATATATTTATTTTTCAGATAAAATTATTGTGGGCAGTTATATGGGGTTTCTTAGAATCTATAATCCACATCCAATAAAACCAGGAGACTCTGTGCAACCTGAAGATTTGTTGTTGGAAGTGCAATTACGTGATCCAATACTGCAGGTGGAAGTAGGAAAATTTGTTTCGTAAGTAAACAGTCTTGCTGCTAATGATCATGCTAATTGGGAGACTCAGATGAAGGGAGTTTATCATCCCAGCTAATTTGGTTCTCTGGGGTAGACTAGATATATTTTTTGAAGTGTTTCGAGGTTACATTGTGGTAGCTACACTAGAACCAACATGGATTCTGGCACTTCATTTCTTGATGACATACTATATTTTATTAATGCTTCTGGCCTGAACTCTAGTAAAGTAAAGAGGATATCAGCATTCAAAAGGAGATAAGGAAGCATGTGAATCTGAAGTTTTCTTATTCACCAAAATTTGTAATGCTTAGTGAGATGGCCTCAATTTTTATTTGTTTGGCAGTTTAAATATTAATAGAGATTTGAAATAAGAGCTGAATTGCATTGTAATCAATGTAGAGAAATGTGCAATTTTAAAATATTTCATTAATATTTAAAAAATACTAAATATTTGTTGGTGTTCTCAGTTTATAATGGTTGGAATGTTGTAGAGGTGCTCCAATACATTTCCTCCATATAATGAGAAAACTGCTGTGCATGTATAGTATATTGTAAAATAATAGACGAGCATGGTTTTTCCCCTCATGTTTCCAAAGATAAAAACTGTTTTTGGAGTTAGAAGGAAGTTGAGCGGCATGAACATAGATGTAAATGCAGATCCTACGTTGGGCTTGTGTAGGGTAAATATCTGCATATGCAACTATGCAGTAATTGTGCTACACAACCCATGTTGACTAGCAGTATTGCTTAACTGACCTAAGACACTAACTGTACAGTATATGTCCAGTCATTTCTAGAACTCATTGACAGCAGAATTCCAGTCATAATTTGGGATGATTCTTGATTTGTATCCTCTTTGAAGAGCACTGTGTGCCAGAGATTTTAAAAGTTATATACAAGTGCCATTGATATATTACAATTAATGTAATTTTCTTTAAAAGTGCATCTTACATTTTTTTTCTTTTTTCTTTTCTTGGCAGTGGTACGGAACTGCTTCATTTAGCTGTACTACATTGCAAAAAGTTGTGTGTATATGCTGTCTCAGGTAAAAAGCAAATGTCTTTAGATTATGATGATCATTCCTACCTCTTCCCAGATTTTCCTTGTTAAGCAGTAATAATATTTCAGATGCAGTTTACATATTTACTATAAGCTATTGGTACAAAGAACAAACATGCATCCTGTTCTTGAGGGCTAATAATAAATATTAATCTTTGGTGGGATACAATATATAAAGCGCATAGTAAGGTGAAAAATTTGTGTCAGTTGAACCTGTAAAATCCTTTCTAACAGTAGCAAATATGTTTACATGGAGAACTAGAGAGAGGAGATTTTTTTTTTTTTGCTAAAGAGTACTGATTAGTAAAAGGATAAAAATAAACATGTAATACTTAGCACAGCAGGTGAATAATAAATATGGATACACTGTTAAATGTGTTACTCAGATCAGTGTTCCCAAATTTTGGTCTTCATTATGTTTTGGACTTCACTACTAGAATTACTGCCTGTTGACAAAGCTGACTGAAGTTTCTGAGAGGTGAATTCCTACACAGCTGGAGGGCCAACATTTTGGAATGCTGATCTGAGAGGCCACACACATTGCTGTTTTGATGCATCCATCTTCATTAGTCATTAGTTGTGCTCAAGTGTCATTCTAATGATGTTGGGCTACAGCTCTGAGCTTCCCTTATGATTGTCTGATCTGGTTGAAGTGGTGGGAGTTCCAGTCCAGCAACATCTGAAGGAACGTACACTGCCTGTCTTTGAAGGCCAACCTGTGTCCCTCTAGATCAGGCCTGCACAACATTTGGGCCACAGGCCAGATGTAGCCCACAAAGGGCTTTGACCCACAGAAGGCAGGCAGGGGAAGTCGATTATAGTGAAGGGAAGTCCTTCACCAGCCTCATACTGGTGAAGAGGGGTCGGGGCATACCAGTAGTCATGTGATGAGTTGCAACCAATTGTGATTTAGTGTGTGTGAAGAGGGAGGAGGAGGAGTGGCCCACATAAGTTTATTTTTAGAAGTGGCCCTTTACAACTGCCAAGTTGCGCAGGCCTATTTTAGATGTTTTTTGACTCCAACTTCCATTAGTCACAGTCAGCATGTCCAGTGGCTAAGAATTGTGAGGACTGGATTCTAAAATTATTTGGAGATCCTAAGAGTACCTATTGGTGATTGAAAGGATACTTTCATTTTTGGCCTATTCAGCATGACATTTCCCCATCCTCATTGTCATGAATAGGAAAACTTTGACTCTTTAGATCTTTTGGACTTCAACTCTCAGAAGCTCCAAAAAGTATACATTTTGAAAGATCCCTCAATGTCTACAAAAGTATTATGGTCCTACATGCTACTTCTGAATGTTAAAACTTGATCTTGCCATTAGCCATAGGCTAAATTGAAAAATTACATAACTTGCCACTTGTATGATTTTTAGTGGTGGGCTTGCTCTGCACTATGTTTAGAACATTAGAGGACAAGGACATTTAGGAAGTTGACTTCATATGTTATCCCACAGAAAAATACAGTAGTCAAGATTATACAGTCAGCCTCCCACTTTCATGGTTTTTGTGCTCATGTTTTTGTGAATATGAAATGTGGTGCCTGGAGTTGGAGTTGCCATGTGATCATTCACATGGCAGTCCTGTCCTCAGGAGGTGAGTGATGGGGCTGTTTGGGTGGCCTGTGTGCCAATATTTGGAACAAAGATTTGTGATATGCAAGAAGCACCAGCCCTACATTCCACTTCACTGAGCCCACAGTTCCAGCTCCTCTTTCTTTTCCTGTGTTTTGCTAATCTCTCTTCTGCTCAACTAAAAGAGGGAATACTGGCAAGAACAGGAACACACTGAATAGGTGGCGGATGAATAACCAGATCCTCCAGCTAAGTGATATTGTGGTAGACATGGGGCCAGTTCCTCCTCTACAGGTTTCTAGTTTTCTAAGTATCTCCCTTCATTTGCTCAAGCTAAAGAGAGACTCATACCACACATGAAGTAGAAAATGAGGCATGATAAAAGTGATTAATAGCATAGCTGGGAGGCGAAATCTAAGCCTTGCAAGAGCCTGTGATGGCTGACACTGTAGTTAAAATTCCTTATTCAAGTCTTTATCATCTCTGACGAGCTCTGGCTCTATTTCAGCTTTTCCTGAGCTTGGGTTGACTTCTTCGAACCAGACTCCCCCAGTTTCTCTCTTTACAGAGACTTTATGACATATTTTAACTCTAAAATGTGTAAAATTACAACTAAAAAAGCCCCCACAAAACACAACTTTGAGCATGTTGTCTTTTTTCTGACTCACACCAGTCATATTCCTGACTTGTACCTCATATCGCTGGAAGTGGAGAACAAAGCTGCTAAGTCATTTGAGTGAATCTCTTCCATGGCATCTTTTACAACGAACTGCTGGAAAAGTTTAGATTTGTGATGATGTACACTGATCCAGTTGAAATCTTAAGACCAAAATTTCTCTAGTTTTAAAAATGATGTTCTCAAAGATGTCCTTCAATAAGTGGAGCCATGCATGAATGTGTATATCTGTATCTTTATAGATATAGTATTACACTTATTTTGCAATTAAGTTTTTCCTTTACGTATCAACTAGTAGGAAATAATCTCTGGAAGTAACAGAATTACTGGAGGAAATGCAGGGCTCAAGTTAGAATATTTCTTAACGGTTGAATGCTGTTGTCATAATAATTGATGTATTTTAAATTTTCATTCAATTTGTTGTAAGTTCAATTTAATATTTAGGCTATTATAGTATGTCAAGGGGCCCTGGTGGCACAGCAGGTTAAACCACTGAGCTGCTGAACTTCGGTCAGCAGTTTGAATCCAGGGAGCGGGATGATTTCCCGCTGTTAGGCCCAGCTTCTGCCAACCTAGCAGTTCGACAACATGCAAGTGTGAGTAGATCAATAGGTATTGGTTTGGCAGGAAGGTAATGGTGCTCCATGCAGTCGTGCTTGCCACATTACCTTGGAGGTGTCTACAGAGAATGCCAGCTCTTCGGCTTAGAAATGGAGATGATCACCACCCCCCAGAGTTGGACACGACTAGACTTAATGTCAGGGGAAACCGTTATCTTTACTTATGAATGCCATATGGAGTAGCAGTACGTGATAAGATGCAATGTAGTGTTGAGTGCAACAGTATAATCATAGGTGAAATGTACATTATATAATCATGTATAAGTCTAGAAATTTTAGTCAAAAAATAAACCCAAAAACTTGGGCCGGCTTATCTACTGGTCATAATGAATACTGTACCTTAAATCTTATAAAATGGAACCACACCCTTCTCTGTGTGGCAAAAGGCAAGAGTTCCTCCTGGGAGAACCTAAAAGATCATATTATTTTGCCCCAAAGCCTGTCCTCAACTCATAAATGAGGTTGATTCATATATAAGTATATAATCAGAGCATTATATTTTTCGTAATATGATTTCTGCAGAAAGAGGATAATTGTACAAGCATAATTTGTGTTTCCTTCTTTGTATTTAATAGGAAGCTTGGGAAATATTGAACATGGCAACCAATTTCAGTTAAAACGTATGTATGAGCACACTCTTCAGCGAACAGCCTACAACATGACTTATGGACCATTTGGAGGCATAAAAGGTAAATTCAAAACTAGGACTAAGTTATTTTCCTTTAATAACAATTACAGTTCTCTTTCAGATACTACAGGATGCACAGTGGGGAGATTATCTCTTGCTGTAAGGAGGTCCTGGGGCAATATCAGTGACATCTAGAGGAGAAAAAAATGTTAAATTATGAGGTCTGCTCATAATAAACAAAACAGCTTTGTACATGCTACCAGGTACAAAGGGTAGGACATCACTCGTAGTAATATTATTTTCTAGGCAGTTGGAAATGGTGAGGTAAGCATGATAGGAATGAAGCATGCTTGGCATATCTTGCAATAAGTGAAAGGTGCTGTTTTTTAGATTACAGTATTCATAATCTCCTAACATCATGACCATGTTACTCAGTAGGCTGCAGGGGATGTGGAGCCAAGATTATCAAGAGTCTGGTACAGTATGGAGAGAAAAATAAAGATTACTAACATCATAAAACTATGTAAGATTGGATTTCATTAAAATCCTATATTTTTTTCTGGATGCTGTTCACATTTTAAAAAATCTTTTATTTAAAAAAAATGCACTGTGCAATCATAGTAACATTTGGTACATGTACTTTTCAAAAGTCCTGGGAGAAAGACACATATAACCTAGGAGGTAAACACACTTTGGCTACAATTCCTTTTCATAATATATTAGTCATTCTATGTATGTGAAGTGAATTATTCATCATAGCACAGTGGACATGTTCAGCTGCCAGTAGTGGGAGCAGAATTATACATACAGCTATTGCACACGATAGCTTCCTGTCATTGACATACATTGTGCAATGTTGCTATATTTACAAATATTTATTCTGTATTGAGGGGATGTTAGTTTGCAGCCATTATCATCTTAAAGTGTACATCATGGTAATGCTGGTTTTCAGTTTATGTAAAATTATGCTGATCTCAGCACATTTCTGTTGTCATGTGTTCATGCATATTCTCACTGAAGTTTTCCACGGTGATCTTGGAAATATATGCCAAAATTGCCTGTAGTCCCTTTTTGATACCACAACACATTACATAATCTGTTGTATTTGTTTTAGAGCACAAGAAAGCGATAGAAATGAAAGAAAAATGTGAAATGATTTTTTAGAAACACAGCTTCATAATTGTGGAGTTGCACAATCATTTATTAGACTTCTAGTTTTATATTTCCATTTCTGAAGAGCATCTGGAAAACCTCACATTACTTTGTAAGGTACTACCCCATGTCTTGTCATAATACCTTTTATGTCAATTTTAACTGAGTGTATAAGGTTGTGTCTGTATGTGTCTGTCTCCATACTGTGCAGAAATATTAAACTTTGCATTGACTTTTTCGCATTTTGTCGATTCACAAACTCAAAATGCTTTTAATTGCACTATTACTACCTAATATACATAAGATGGTTAACACTACTAAGGTGCAAAATATTTGTATTATAGCACATGTTAAGTAAAGAAAATCAAAAGGGTGTTTAGTTGTATAATATTTCCTCTCCTGAGGTGATATTTTTGGAGCAGAGAACCCCAAAAGAAAGAACAAAACCTTGAATTAATGGCAAGCCAGCCACTCCCCCCCCTTATTGTTTGTTAGTGATGATGATTGATGATGATGTATTATGGATCCTAAAAGTTTAAGCTATAGTAGTCCTCTTGTAAGGACAGAAAAGGTTGAAGAAGAAACACAGGTACAGCAGCAGGTAGTTGGTGGTAAAGGTAAAGGTTCAGGTTGAAGGAGAGAGAGAGTTTCCCTCCTACCGCACTGGCCCTTAAAATTAATATGATTGGAAGGAAGTTGTAATACACCAGGTTTGGTAATGTTATTAGGAAAGGAAAGGTTGAAACGGGCAGTTTTTGGATGAATTTATTTCCAGAGAGCCCCAAAAGAAAGAATGAAGCCCTAAATCAATGGCAAGCCAGCCACTCCCCCCCCCCCCCATTTGGTATTGATGATGATTGATGATTATTTGTTATGGATTCTAAAAGTTTAAGTTATAGTAAGAACAGAAAAGGTTTAAAGAAACACAGGTACAGGACAGGCAGGCAGCAGTTGGTAAAGGTTATAGGAAGGTGGGAGAGAGTTCACCCCACCCTTGATCCTATTGTTATGAGTGAATGAATCCTAAAAGTTAAAGTAACTTTATTATAATATTTTGAAAAAGCTCCCTTCCCACACAAGTATCTTTCTTTCAAAATCCCTTCCAGTGACCAGTGCTGACTGAGGAAAGATTAGAAATAAAATGAGAATGTCGTTGAAAGAGAGTAGAGAGAGACTGAAGGAGAAAAAGAGTTCCCCCCAGAAAAGAGACTGATCTGGCTGCTGCCAAATGGCTGCTTTGCTTCTTTTCCACTTTTGGAGATGGAGAGCAGAGAGAAGCAAGAGGCTAGGCTGACTGAAGCCCTTTCCAATTCCCACCACCCAAACACAGACGTGCACCCCACCTACCCTCGCATTCCCGACAGTCCCACTAAAAATAAAGAAATGGAATAAAGTAAGATTAAATAAAGGTAAATAGAAAAAGAAATAGATTGCTTTGCTTTCTTTTTGAGTCTGAAAGCAAGGCACTGGCAGAAGGCAAGCTGAAGCTAGACCTGTGAGCGGCAGCAGGAAGTCAGTTGCAATTGAGAAGATCTGGAGTACGACCTTCTCCTTCCAAAGCCCAGGCGCAACTGAAAGTGGAGGTGGCCGCCCCTATGTTTATAGACCTGACATGTCACGGCTTTCTTCCCTTCAGAGTGGTTCAATGGGCAGCAGGGGACTGGGATACCCCATTCACTGTACGTGGCTGGCCGCAGCTTGCGCTCCATGTAAAAGAAGGGAAATCAAAAGCAGCAGTATTTAGTAGTCTCGTGGTCTGCTGCAGATGGGGAAAAATGCCATTTCAGTTGGACAAAAGAGAAAAGCAGGACCAACTGGAGTCCGTTTTTCAAAACAGATACGTGCATAGTGCATACGTGAAAACTTTTGTCATTTTGTCATTTTATTTATGTGCATACATATATGTGAACACTAGAGGGCACTAATGTATTTCTTGATTTTTGAAAATATATCACACCAAAGATTTTGGTGACAACTGACAAACTGAATAAAAGAAAGTACCTGAAGAGTGCCAGCGTCATAACAATCAGGAAGTTATATTAATCTCCTGCATGAAAAAGAACCCTTAACATTGAACTATGAAGAGTACTTTTTAATTTTAGCTTTGTTGACAGTCTTTATGAATGGGGATACATTGCAAGATTGATGGAATAGAAAATATGAGAATGAAATTGCTCAATAGTGCAAACTTTACAAATGGCTGCCTCCAGGGTGAAACTGTCCAAATGTATGCTATTTTATTGACTGTATTTCTGTCCTGGCTTTTTTGCAACATGGGACCAAAGGCAGTTTACAACAAAGTGGCTTACAAGATAAAATAAGATAAAACTACAAACCTGATGAGTTAAAACAAAAAGAAACTATCATATTAAAGCGCCATTCAAGAATATAGAATTCAAAAGTACAGCACAGACATCTGCTGAAAAATATCATTCCTTAGCAATTTACCTATCAAATATCTTTTTTTTTAATTACCTGATGGTGAATGGAGAGCAGAGAAGGTCCAGTCTAGCTATCTCTGAAAGAGGACTCCCACACTGGTAGGGCTGAAAAAACTCCTCTCTTGAGGATCCTAAGCTTTTATAATTCCATAATGAAAGATAACTGTCTTTCAGACGTGCCGACATAAGCAGTACAGGGCTTTGTTGCTAAGTACAGTAAACTTGCAATGAACTGGAAATGAAGCAACCAGAACTCTCAAGCAACTGACAAAAAATCGAAGAAGTAATACTTTAAACAAGCGATGTTTTTTTATACAGTAAAACAGTCAATATGTTACATGTGTTACGTTTGCCTTAATTTGCTTTTAATTGCTGTATTTCAATGTTCTCAATTTCTAAGCTGAAGAGCCGATGTTGTTCATAGACACCTCTAAGGTCATGTGGCCAGCATGACTGCATGGAGCGCTGTCACATTTGCATGTTTTCAAACTGCTAGGTTGGTAGAAGCTGGAGCTAACAGCGGGAGCTCACCTTGCTCCCTAGATTTGAACTGCTGATCTTTCGGTCATCAAGTTCAGCAACTCAGCAGTTCAATCTGCTGCACTACCAGAATTACATTAAAGCCAAAATTTCAAAGTTGGTTAAGTAAATTTAAGTTGACTGTTTATTTGAACATTTTCCGCCACTAATTGATTTTTAACTATTTCTATCCCAGTGAGTATTGCTTATATAAAGAGAGGCATTTCAAGTTACATTTTCAAAATCACATGTAGTTTGTCTCTAGCTTTATGATATTGTTTCTAGAAGTCATGCACTGATATGGCTTACTCTCTTAGGCCCTGCTTGTCAGTATACTATATCTAGCCACCAACCTATCTGTAGATGCCTACCTCAATGCACACCTTCTCTGCCCTTCCAGATAGTTTAAAATATGTTTTCCCGCACTTTACACTGGCATACGTTCTAGCTCAATATGTGTTATGTGTATATTTCCTGCCCAGTTTACCATATTGTTGTACTTTCCTGCGCTATTGTAAAAATGTATTGCACTCATTGAATCTGTACCTCAGCTATGTTTCTTTCAGCCGTATTGTTTTTAGATTGCTTTCTATTGTGTTGTTATTTGTTTTATCTGATGTTTTAATTGGTTGAAGTGTTTTACATGTGTGTTTTAATTGTAATCTTGGGCGTGTCCCTTGTAAACCGCTCCAAGTCCCCTAGGGGAGATGGATGGCAGGGTATAAAAATAAAGTTATTATTATTATTATTATCATTATTATTATTATTGTTATTTTCAGATGTGTAAAACAGATTAACATAGAGGTTGCTGTACTGCAAAGAGAAGCATCCGTGTCCAGGCTGTTTCTTAATTTGAAGAATGTCTGTGGGTCACAGATGTGTACTTAGAAACATTCTTAAAAAATGAAATAGTGGGTAGCAGTAGTGCAATGCTTTTTACATTTGTTCA